CTGAGGTAAAATATGGCTGTGTGGTGGCAAAGCCCGCGCTTGCCGGGGTGAAATGCGGATGTGCTGAAGGAAAAAATGTGGATTTACTGAGGTGAAGTGCAGATCTGAGGGAAAATGTGGATCTGCTGAGGGAAAGTGCAGATCTGAGGCAAAATAAGGATCTACGAAGGAAAAATGCGTATCTGCTGAGGAAAAACTGCAGAACTGAGGACACACACGGACCTGCTGCGGAAAAATGCGGACCTGCTGGGGAAAAATGCAGATATTCCGAGGAAAATTATGGATGTGCGGGGTTGAAAGCAAGAATCACCCTGGATGTAAAGGTCTCTAGGACCTTCCTCCACCGTAGGTGCTCCCGGCATGGAGGAAGGTCCCGGTGACCTTTGGGCTGTCTGGTGCCTGTGGCCATGCCCATGGGACAGGGTGTGGGTCACTTGGCCCTTAATGCGGTGGCCAGGGGGGCCATGCCACGCTCCGCTGCGCCAGCCACCGGCCATGGGTGCTGGGGACTGCCTGGGTGCGTGGGCGGCATTCAGCAGCCTGGAAGTGCTGCAAAACAAGACGTGGCTGGCTGAGGCTCTGGTGATGTCTCCTTCTCCCCACACCCTTCACAACCCGGTTTTTGTCTTCCCCTCCCATGGCTGAGTATCCTACAGTTGCTGTCTATGCCCATCACAGGCTCGTCGGGGCCAGGGGATGGACCGTAGGTGCAGGACACCCTCCGATGCTCTACGTGGTGGGTCACAGCCCCATTGCGCCCAGTTCATCTCCATCCACACGCCTTCCTGGACCACTTCCTATGTGTTACACATCAAGGGCTGTTATCAGGGGCACAGAGAGGCTGCATCCATGATGGTTTAAGTGTGGATTGGGATGAAGGCTGCTAGGGGAGAAGAGGGAAGTGTGGGATCTTCACCCCCATGGCGGACCCTGGGAGCAAACCCCACTCAAGACCCACACACGGTCTTGTCTCCCTCAAGGAGGCCAACGGCACTGCTCAAACAAGGTCTGCTGGAGCTTTATGCATGAAGGATGATGGCAGCATTCATTCGTGGGGTTGAGCGTGGTCTAGGAAGAAGACACCGGGCTCCTCCAGCACTGAGCTCCTGCGCTGGCGGCTGCAGCCCAGGGGAAGGACTCCGGGTGCAGACACGCTCCTCCATGGGCCTGGCAATGCTGCTCTCCCTTGTCCCACTGCTGCCCCAGCCAAAAAACCCTGTGTCTGCCTATCCTCCTGTGTTTGCGCTTATGAGCTCTCCTTCCACCTACGCAAGGAGCTATTTTTAGCAGACACTAATCAAGTGTCAGTGCTGGCTCTGAGTGTGGCTTTCAAGCCGAGGGCTCATGCTTTCGCCGAGCGCTTGCAGGAACTCGGGCGTGTGTTTTCTTTTCAATTTAGTTGAGAATTTATACAAAGTGCCGCAGAACGGTGGCAGTTATTTCAGGCTCATCACACCTGAGCCCACACTGAGCTATCACCAGGCGACTCTCCATTTCGGCAAGGGCTTGGCAGAACATCCCCCTCCCGGCCCCGCTCTCCTCGCTGCCGGCAGCGCCTGCCTTGCCTAACCCCTCAGGAGCCGGCTCCGAGCCGGGGATGCCCAGCCGAGGGGTAGGTTTGCTCCTCTTGGCCCATTTATCTCCAGCACAAGGATGCTGCATTGGTACTTAGAATCATGCAGGAAAGGAAAATACTCGGTGTTCAGCCACCGGGGTCACAGCCTCCTCTGAGTAAATCCACTTCGCGGGGCTGGCCGGCTCCCCCTTCCGCTGAGGTTACTCTGGCCTGCTCACAGCTTCCTGGAGACCGTTACGAGCCCTGCTCCTCACCACGTCTTAAGCGGCTCTGATTCAGCAAGAGCAAGCTGGTGTATTGGGCGAGCCGTGTTTCACTTTGGCTGCTGAACTGCAACAGGGGCTCGGTGCTTCTTCAGCTAAAGCGGGATGTGATCCGAGCTGAACTTCAGCTTCCAGGCAGATAGGAAGAGCTGCCTCTCCTCTAGGACCAAGCCTTCCCTTGCAGCTAGAGCATGGTAGTTCCTCCCTGGCACACAGCAGCAAGAAGTGGGAGCTGGGGAATGGGAGCAGTGTTTTGGTTTTTTTCCCTCCTGCTCACAGCCCTGCTGCAGGCAGGAGACCTTGGTTTGGGGTTCTCTCCTTGCAGAGAGGTCGCAGGCTGCTCTCTGTACCCACCAGCTCCCGCGAGGTCAAGGCTCCCTCCCTGCCTCAGTAGCATCGGACAGAGCAAGCACATCCCGGAGGGCAGGCTCTCCCCAGGGTGTAAGAGCTTTAGCGTTCACGGAGGAGAAACACCCACCAGCTGCCTGTATCCAGCACCAAGACGGAGCCATACAAACAGCTCCATGGCTGTGGGGTCAGCCTGCTCCTCAAGAGCAGGGTCTCTACCTCCCACCGCCACTCATGGCATCTCCCCCTCCCAGGGCAGCAGCGCCAAAGGGCTGCGAATCCTTCTGGGCACCCCTGGCGCATGACAAAGAATGGCTCTGTTCAAGAAAACCAGAGAGAAAATTTATTCTTCTTCTTTATAAAATATCTCCAATAAATTATATAGGCAAATATTTAAGTTAAAATAAATTAACTCCGCTCTATGCTGGGACATGTGGCTGTCCACAAAATGAAACTAGGTTTTGTGTTTCTTTGAAAAAATATGCCCTAGATCTCCAACGTACGATTTGAAAAAAATATCTATGCTTGGTGAGGAGGAAGGAGAAATCTCTGCAATGGACAGAAGGGGTTAAGGTGCGGTGCTGAAGCTGCCTGTTGCCGGTGGCGTTTCCGTATCCAGCTAAGTGCTAAGAGCATCTTCATCGTCGCTCCAGTCGGGAGGAGCGTCGGTCCCGAAGTACCGATCGCCAAAGTTCCCTGCGGGGAGAAAGAGAGAGATACAGTCATGGTGGGTGCAGCTCTGCAGGGAGCCCTGGGACCATCCCCCAGCCGGCAAGGAAACAAAAGCACATTTATCCACCAGCTCAAACAGCTCTAAAAACTCGTGTAGCAGCAAAACTGGAGCAGCCTGGAGGCTGTTTTAGCACCCCGTGGCAGGGGTGTTTCCTGGCACGGCAGAGGTGAGGACAGAAGAACAGAGTGAGCTTGTTTTGGGTGAGCTTGTTTAAAGGTGGCAGCTTAGGGAATGAGGTGGGCACAGGTCTGCCCCAGCTGTCCCAGCCCAGCTCCTCCAATCTGGGGCTGGAGGAGGCTCGGGGCACGTGGAACGGTTCCCTCTGCCAACAAGGCTACGGCTGCCCGACAGCGCTCAGAGCGTGCGTGTCGATCCCAGCACCCACGTGCCAGCAGGACCCAGGAGAGGCAGTGGGTCCCCGGGTAAAATAAGGCCAGATTGAAGCTGCTGCTGACAGCCAGGGCTTCACCTCCTCTGCTGAGCGGGCCAGAAGCACCGAAAATCCCCCAGCAACAGGTCATTCCTACTCAGATACTCACCGATGCCCGGGATTATCCGGAAAAGGTCATTCACCTTCTTGTCCACAGCTGTGGTGATGATCTTCACCCGGGGGAAAGCGTAGGCGACCGAGTGGACGCCCATCTCTGCCATAAGCAGGGAGAGGAGGAAGATCTTGTCTTCTGGGACATCATGATCCTACAGGAAAGGCACGGAGACAGCTCAGGGTAAGGATTTCTACGGCAGGTTATGGCCCATGCCTCCGGGAAGCGGCACTCGGAGCGCTCGAGGGCCCTCCTGCAGCCACCTTCCCTCCTCCCCTCTCCGCGGCCAGTTGGGGTTACTGGGCACGGGACCAAGAAACCAATTAAATCTGTCACGACACAAGGAAGGGGCGACTTTGTCAACAGCTGGTTACAGAATCGCCCCAGCTTGTGCCGTCTCCCACGACGCCCTCCTTTGCAAGGAGACAGCCTCAGCGCCAGGCCCCTCAGCGTGGCTGCGGCTGGTGCTTTGCACGTTATTTGGGGGGCAAACCACCCGCCCTCGGCAGCGTGCCCGACACCCTCCGTACCAGCAGCACCCGCACTGCCATCATGGCTGCTGCGCCCGTGGAGACCGTGCAGTCCATCAGGATGACGTGGTCTTCGCTGATGTCCTTGGGCAGCCGCAGGTAGTGGAGCTGGGCAGGGGGAAGAGAGGTTCAGCTTAGAGGCTGCAGGCTCCCGGCGAACGGAGCAACCCGAGCCCTTCTTTTCAAGGGGTGAAGGATCTTTCATGCACCTCCGTCTCTGCGACCCCAGCTGTCGGCTTGGAGCCAGGTGCTGGTGCAAACACTCGGACAGCAAACCAGCCCTCGCGTGCACCAACACGCCGGCAAAGCCCACTTGAGAAGCTTTCAAAGCACTCGCTTTCTGAGCGCTCACCCCCCGCCAAGATCAACTCGGATCGCTGAAGAGCTCTCAGGAAATACCCAAGTCACCTCCTGCACACAGGCTAACACCAGGAGATGCCCTCGGCAGCCCAGGGTCCCGGGTTTTACCTCCGGCTCGCCCGTGTTGCAGTTGGTCTGGATGAGAATGGTCCCGATGCGGACGTCCTTGCACACCGCTCGCAGCGCTGGCTCCATGGTCTCACCCGCTCGCAGGATAGACACCCCGGTGATCTGCAGCACGCAGCGAGGGTCAATGGGAAGGCACAGCGCGGGAGGTGCACGCCACCCCCCTACGGCATTGGGCCTCGACAGTGGGGGACTCTAAAGCCCAAAGCACATCCCTTCCACGATGGG